AAGGAAAGGAAAGGAAAGGAAAGGAAAGGAAAGGAAAGGAAAGGAAAGGAAAGGAAAGGAAAGGAAGTGCTCTCAGACTTGCAAGATTCTGTTAATGTAACCCTGCAATAAAGGTAGTGTTAATACTCATGGTTTTGGTTTCCTGTCTGGACTACCTTGAAGGGCTGACCATATACCATATACCATTGTCTGCCCAGCCTTGCTGAGCCAGAATCTAAGGTCCAGTATTGGCAGCTGCTGAAAGCTCATGTGCACAAAGCCCTCAATTACCATGCTTGTGTGTGTGTTTTTCTTTTCTCTCTCTCTCTCTCCCTCTCTCTAGTGCCATAAACTGCACAACCTCTGTAAGCGTCTGGAGCCATCTAGAGTACAGTGGCATACAAATATCAGACATAAAATGAAATAATAAAATGGTTGAGCACTTGAGCCTCTGATGCATCTCCACTGTCTTTAGGAAGACTAGATGTTTGATCCATCACCTACTTTACTTAAGGGAAAAGAAATGCAGTTGTAGGAGCGGGGAGCAGGGGGTGGGTGGGTTGATCACCTTTGCAGGCAAAAGAGGACTGAGGGGCAGAGAAGAAGTCAGGGGACAGATAGGAGGGAACAGTCTTGCAAGAAAACAGCAGAACCAATTGTAACCTCAATATTCACAAACATGGAAGAAGCAATTTTACATTGCCTCCCCACGTACATAGTGCCCACATGCAGAGTCCTGAAGCTAATGTGGAAAATTCCACTTCTAAGTCAATTCTATTTGAAATGTTAGTGGTTCATGCTATTGCAAAGTTTGAGAAGCCATTTCTTGTATTGCATTGTATCCTTGTATTGTTGCATACTTTAAAAAATACGCTATACCTTAAAATTAGTTGAAATAACATAGCTTTTTAAAAGACACATTGATATGTCCTGATTATTAACTATTTTATATTTCTTTGAAGGGCTAACATGATAAACTATTATGGGAACTGGTTGCGTTGCCTAGTTTAATTAATATGCCTGAAAGCAGAATTATTTTTGCTATAGGTATTTAGCATTATATACTAATTATAGATTATCAAATATACCTATTACCCACTAATGATATTATATTAGAAATATAGAGGTTGAATGTGTAAAACAGTTTGAGACATATCTGAAAGCAAGCTGAGAAGCAGCTCCTGCTGCAAATTTCTCCGGCGTTAGTGTAGTATCCACACACAATGGATCCTCAGCTTTTTCCACACTATTGAGAAGCATCTTGTATCAAACTCAGAGGTATGCCCACTGATTAATGTTCACTGCATGGCCACAAAACATACTTATTTTTTCTGTTATATTTTACTTAACAACATGGTTTGTGTACAGGTAAAACTTTCACATAACCTTTGTTCATCTCACTTCCTCTTTTTCAAGGTGAAAATAATTTAGAAGTGGAAATAACTACAAACAGGGATCACTGAATTCATCATGAAACCAGACTAGCCATGGCAGAGACTGTTCTATCTAGACTAAAAGGAACAAATTAAAAAAAAATACTGTAATACAGTATGTAATCACTGTGTCATAATTTCTGGTATAATAAAAATACACAATGGCCCATAAAAGTAATTGGAGAAAGTAATTTTATCCTTAGGTATAAAAGTCACACTTTTAATCCCACCCTTTCACAACGCTGGGAGCAGGGAGGATGAGTGAATCAAATTGCTTTGCCAGAATCAAAATTCTAATAAGTCAGCTATCTTGGGATTTCACAATCCTATTTAAAATGGGATAGTCCAGTAATACTTTACATACCTATTGTTATGTTACTGCTCAGTTTTGTAGAAGGTGTCATGCTAAAACAAAGTTCCTCAGTATGCCACCCTCCTGAAATTTTGGACTATAATGCTTATTGTCTCCAAACACTTGCTGTGCTGGCTGGGTATTATGGAGTGGTAGTCTAGTACCTAGCTGTCATTGTCTTGACTCCAGAGCTAAGCAGGGTTAGGGCAGGTTACAACTTGGATGGAAGGCCTCCAAGGAATAAGAGGCTGTCAGCTAGACTAGGAATTTGAAAAACATCCCAGAAGGGAACGGCAAACCACTTCTGTACTGACACATCCATGAAGTTACCAAAGTCAAGCTCAACTTGAAGGACTTTACAATCATATGCAACACATTCATAAGGCGTAAAATTGGGGTAGGCTATAAGGGAGACATTCTTTTGAGAGCAGTAATGGCTCAACAAGCATGATCCTTGATTGAAAAAGATTCTTCCTCCTGCATTTTGCTAATGCCTGCCTGAGTAACTGCATTTCGCTAATGGCCCGCATGAGTAACTGTGGTGCTGGGCTACCCCAAGGCAAAAGTCTTGAAAGGAATATTGTTCACTGTTTCAGAATGTTGTCTCACTAGCTTGGCTTCTGACAAATTAACCTTCAGTTCCTCTTTTCTCTTTTTGTGATGTTTCTACTGAAGTAACACTTCCTGACAAGTACTTTCTAGGCAAGTTGAAAAGACTGTGTTGACCCCCTCAGGTATGGCTACAAAGATCTTGCTAACCTGCATGTCTGCTTTTCAAGAGGTTCAACTGTGGAGTAATGAAGGTCCCGGGAAAAATGGTACTGGTAGTGCCGGGAAACTATTCCAGCATTGGCTGACCAAAGGAGTCCAAAGAGGAGAAGAAGCCCACCGATTCCACAACAGAAGAAGCTGATTGATCTGAGTACAGCACTGGAAGAGGAAGCCCTGGTCATAAGTTCTGTTTCTCCATGAGGCATGACTTTGGGGTCACTGCTGGGTGCAGTGACCCCCATTTCACCATCACTCCACCAAGCAAAGCACAGTGTCCCCGTCACCAGCAGGATAGCTCCAGCGATGGTCACTCCATGACGCAAAGAAGCTATTGCCATGTTAAAGACTGAGGCCTGTAGCGCTTATAAAATACTTTACAAGGAAAAAGTCTTAGTATCAACGTTCTTGCTGGAAAAGAGGTAAGAAAATATATGGTGAGTAGATACAAACAGGTCATAGGACAAACAAACAAAACAAAAGCACAAACCTCAGATTCAAGGAGAATCAATTAAGGTTTATTGTGTGCCTTTTAAAACACCCCCACAGCCTTCTTAATGGAAAGAAAAATCAAATGTCATTTTGTGGTTATATTCAATAAAGGTCACACTTATCCCGGGGAGACAAATTTACAGCTTTTGCATTTGAGATCAATCAAATGGCTTTATAAATCTCTACAATCTACAGCAAACATTTTCTTTTTAATATGGAAATTGGATGAAGTTGCAGAGTTTGGAGGAGTCAGTAAAGAGGATCCCCGTTGTCTTCCATGTTTGTCTACGTCTCGATCCAAACAATACCAGATAATCCAATTTTTTACATGACTTCATCACAAGTTCATTTTTGTAAGATAAACCCCTTGTTCAACTGTGCCCTCTCAAAATCAGATACTGAGATTGTGCTCAGCTCAGCTAAAATCTGACATTCATCTTAATGCAGTAAGTACAAGCCCTTGCCATATGACTTTGCATTCAGATGAAAAGATGAACACAAAATATTTGTAGTAAAAAAATAAATAAATAAAGTATGACTTAGGGCTAGGTGTGCATTGGAGGCAATTCTGGAAGAGATCCAGATCTGAGAGGCCAATCAATGTCATATAATCATATATAGCAAAAGTTGTATTATATTTTTATGCTTATTTTCATTACCATGAAAGAAGCCAATTCCTGTCAAATCTCAAATTATAATGACCAAGAACAGGACCTCACATTTGTTTTGTTCTGTGAGATAAAGTAAATGGAATCTAGTTGGGATTAATACATTTCTTATCAATCATCTGTTGATATTTTTTGTGGTACATGGATGGCATTGTTTTTGCTACATATGCTATATGGTGTGCAACTGTTAATATGTGACTATATTATATGTTAGTACATAAAACCTCCACTGTCTTGCGTTTTGATAGCTTTTTCCAAAGGGCCAATTGTATGCCCACCCCAAAATCTTACTAAAAAATTGAGAAGGCAATAAACGGCCTTTTTTTACAGGACTCATTTCTGCAATAGTTTAATCCTATGGGAAGAGTTTTATATCACATAGCTTTTATAATTACTAACAGCAAACATGATCAGGCAACTGTCCAGACCTTGATCTCCAACTCCCAAAGGCCACAGCCAACATGGCCAATAGTGGGAAATCTGAGAAATCTTGTTCAGCAGTAACAGACAACCCAGAGGTTTTCCACTCCTGCTTTAAAACATTAAATATTTTAGAAGATGGGGAAAAAATAAGCAACTAGCAAATTGCTACTAGAAGATTCCAAAATCTATACCTGTATCCCCCTAGAAATGTCATACTATATTTCCCCAATATTCAACTTTACATACATACACTGTGCAAAAGTTTTAGGCAGGTGTGAAAAAATGCT